ATTTTGTTTTGCAAAGAACAATATGCTAGATGATGCTCTACGTCACATGACTCAATTTACATAAATACGTTTTTGAGAAGGGCAGCCCGCACACACCATCGAAACATGTCAAGTAATGATGTAAATAAACCTGAAAAACTAACACTTATCTATTGCATATTAAAATAATACTTGGGTCAAGATTTAAGCAGTGTTGCTTGAAGCATGGTTTCCTTATGTGTAGAAAAGGGAGACTTGCATAACCACTGCATTGGATTTTTAATATAAAGTAAGCTGTTGTGATGATATGGTTATTGGTTAGAATGTAAAAGGTGTCGTGCACATTCCAGTTACCATCTAGAACCAAAGGAGAACCTCTATCCACTGGACTGGTTGCTAGTGGTCATTACCCGGTGGATAAAGGGGGTATTTATGCTTTAGACATCATTTTAGGGATTTTTTTCTAAAGTTTAGTTTTAAACAACTTCCTCAGTACCATCGTGCCTTTTTGCAAGATTGTATTGTACTGCGGCGAAGTCCACAACTTGTTTGTATTATTGTTCTTTCCCAAAGAACAAGCAAAGTGCAGCAGCCTTGCTGGGAATGTTATGAAGTTTGAGAGGCCTGTAAGAAAAGCAGCAAGTCTACACCGTCCACAGCGTTTATTCTATAGCGCCCAAAGAAACATAAATCAGTGGCGCTCTCATGTCACATACTGAATTTATTTACCATCAGAATAGAGCAGGGAATTAGAATAAAAATCACATCATGTATCTCTGATCTAAAAGCAGCGCACTGAATTACTGCAAACTGAAATGTTCTCCTGAGGGAGTGTGGAAGATTTTGCTGCATAGCCATATATCACTAAGCAAAGGAGTGGAGGGGGGGTGTCTTGAGTGCTGGTTCAGCTCTGTTACGATGCTCCTCTTTACTCTTCACTTAAAAGCTCTCCAAACCAAACAGTGTTTTAACAAGACACCCTTAATATTCTCTGTCTGCTTTGGTTAAGTGTGTTGGGCTCCGTCCAGGGAGCTGGCATGTTGATTCCATCCACTCCATGAACCCTGACCTTTCATGCATTTAAACAACTCGCTAACAAGGCCGAGCAGTGCACCAATAAGATTTAATATGTATACTTTTTTGGCATTTTTTTTTAAAGAGCATCAATTTCATGTGAGGACGATAATGCCTGTGGGTTCAACCAGAGTTCAGGTTGTTGCTATTGCAGGCCCTCCATGAGCTGAGATCAGATCAAAAGGGCTTTGTGAAGCATGCCACCATCAGGCAATTAATGCTCACCAAAACAGCCGCCCTGCATGAGAAGTTAAGCCCATTTTCACAGCTAAACTTATACGACAACTATTCGATTTTTCTTGAGGGAAAGCTTTACAATATGCATTTAGTAACAGATTTCCGAAATGTTCAGTTTATTTATTTAGCTAATTCTCAACATGTCACTTAAAGGCACTTTTCAGAAATAATTAAATCAGATCTTCCAGTCAGATTGGTTAAGTTTTCAACCCAAGCTAAAACCCAGCTGACTGCATTGAGTTGTGGACTTTGCAGGATTAACTCCTCCTGGATGAGCATGTAGAGGCAGTAGCTATTTGCTTGCATTGTGTTGACTCTACAGCAGGGGTGCTCAAGTCCAGTCCTCAAGAGCTACCATCCTCTAACTCTTACATGCAACTCTTCTCTAAAACACCTGAATCTAAAGGCTCAATCCCCATATTTAGTTCAGCAGAGGCATGGTAACGAGCCACTCATTTGATTCAGGTGTGTTAACATCAGGTGCATCAACATCAGGTGCATCATAAAGCTGCAGGATAGTAGCTCTTAAGTACTGGACTTGAGCACCCCTGCTCTTACACCAAGCATGCATGCAGCGACACTGGAGAGAATAAACTCCCTTTTAACAGGAAGAAAACCTCCAACAGAAGCAGGCTCAGTGTGAGTGGCCTTCTGTTGAAGTTGACTGGGGGTCCATGAGAGAGGAGGAGACACATATGATCTATAAATACTTTCTATGCTAGAGAAATTAATGGTAAATAAACTAGGTCCATAAGTGACTGTGTAGGAAAGAAACTGTTATAAGCAGACAAGCTCTGAGCCATTTCTAATGTCTAATCAAAGTAAAAGCTTAGCCCATTGCTATGTCTAGGGGAGAAACAGGACAAGGCACAGAAAAATAAGGTCCAACTCTATCATCTAATATTGAAGGTTTTGATGGCAGCAGCCCAGCTGATATTTCCCTCCAGGATGGTATTACAGCTTCTATGACAACAAAAAGCAGAGTGAATTTAGGGGTTGAACTAACAAATGAATGGGAGAACAGAGATAGAATCAAACTGAATTTTAAAAAGTGGTCCCTATGTCTTCAAGAAGGCTAAGCCTATAGAAGCAGAAATATAGTGACAATGATAATCTGAGCGACTTTATAAGCTTATCAAAAAGGAAAATTTACTCCTAGCCTTAGAAGGAGACAGGGTGTCTGCCTAATGGAACAAGACTGGTAGTTGGTTCCAGGGGAGTAGCCTTAAACTGCTTAAAGCAAATAAAAAAAATTTAAAAATGTAAAATCTGGGGTAGGGGTGCTCAAGTTCAGTCCTCAAGTGCTACTATCCAGCAACTGTTTGATGCACCCCATTTAACACAGCTAAATTAAATTAGTGGATCACTAACATGCCTCTGCTGAGATTCAGGTTTATTGAAGAAGAGATGCATCTAAAAGTTACAGAATGGTAGATTAGACAAGCAGCCCTGATCTAGGAGAAAACTGCTTAAACAGTGGCTTTTTAGTGGGCGTCACCAGAGGGCGCCAAACAAAGGGTGAAAAATTGGGAGAATAAAAAATGTGGGGGAAAAAATTTCAAAACAAAAGCTACTTTCTCCCATTATGTCATTTAATCTTCATAAACTATAACTTGCAATGTACCAATTTGATAGGATTTAAAAACTGAACTTTGAGGCTCTTTGTCCAAGTATGTAAGCAACAGGTGGGTAGAGGACTGAAAAAGTGTAATCAAGAGTATTTCTACTTTATCACATTTCTACTAAAGCGCAAAAAATCCCCACCCAAGACATTACTCAAGACAAGGAAAAAAAATATGCTTTACTGCTACTCAAGTACCAACTGATCATAACATCATATATTTAAAATTATATAAGACAAAGCAAAATGTCATTATGTTTACAATCTGGTATTTTAAAGACTACTATAAAATAAAACCCAAATAATGATTGAAAACTAATTCCAGGTAGAAAAAAAGCAAAGAAAACTGGATTAGAAAGGTAACATAAAACTTATAAAACTAAACATGGAGCGCATCGAAATGTGGACATTAAGCTCAGTTCTCTTACACACACATTGGATATAAAGTGTTAGTACATTTGTTTAGCATAAGAATATTGACTAATTGAACAGGAATAAAAGAAAAACAATCTAAAAATTGATATTTGCTTCCTTTTTTACGTTTCTACAGTCCCTAGCCAGAACAGACAGCTGTTGGATGATTTTATATGAAATGTTAATGTCAGAGGTCTGCAAGAAAAAACAAAAAATGCAAGCCACACTTTTCTTTTTTAAAGTTGGATAAAGACATCCTCAAGCAACATAGGTTACAATACTTTGAGTTGGTTTATCAAATAGAAGTCTAATAACAGGGTTAATAGCATTCCCATTGGGAGCCTGATAATACAGATGCAAAATGAATGTTCCACTTATGTCAAAGAGGTTCTGTACTAAGATTGATATATAAATTGAATACATCAGTTCACACAATAAAAACAGTACATTAAAATATTAACACCGACTTAAATAGACTTTCATATTCAACGTACTACTCGGAGTTAAATATTTTACGGCAATCAGTCGCTTTAAATCACTTCTGTTCAACTTAGTGTAGTAGTGACCCAAAGTTGTGAAAACCATTTCCTATGGTGAGGGAATAAACTAGGTCTGAACACGGTGCATTACCCATTGCTGCTCAGCCAGCAGAACCAATGTAGTATATTAACTCAGGTCATACTGTATATGGTTATTTTTTTATTTGATGGTTAAATCAACTCGAAACAAAAAATCAGCATTGATGGACAAGTCTGGATGTATTGATGGGGGAAACTAAAAATTCTACTACCTTTTAGTACTTTTCAATGGCCTTACGTTGAACTAACTTGATTTGCTACCTTTTTACTAATCAATTGACCACCCTATACTAATCCCGAAAAGAAAAGATTTAAATTTAAAGCTACAGTGTGTAACTTTTAGCGACATCTAGCGGTCAGACTGTAGACCGCAGCAACATGAACATCTCCCCCCCACCGCTTCTCCCCCCCAACAGTACGGCGAGCGTTACGGGACAAAATGTCTTCCACGACGTCCGCATCACCTACCTTCTTAAGTGATGAGGTTTGTTTACATAGATAATTTTACAGATAGTATTTCATTAGTCTGTGTAGGGTATAGATTTCATGTAGACTTAAGATAATAAATATACCCGTTATTTTTTCTACATCGTTGTGACGTTTTGGCGATCTCGCAATCGCTAGTTTGTTGGCTCTGCGCTGCCGTAGCGCAAAGATGTCTGCCTCCATGGCTGCGAGACCCGCTCCTATGTAATTATAAATAACAAATTCTAAGGCAACGCAAATATTAAGGTTAAGAGGCTGAGCTCGTAGATGATGATAAATAACATAGTTATGTATAATATATTTCTGACTGTATATCCCTGTAATTATTACACACTGTAGCTTTAAACAAAATTTTTCTGTAGCACCTCTAGTTCTCTTACACACACATTTTATATAAAGTGTTAGTACTTCGAGTATGACTTGAAGGCAGAAAAGAGCCTTCTTTACCTAAACAAAATTTTTCTGTAGCACCTCTATTTAATCCTTACCCAGCCTTTAATCCCCAGTAAGCAAGAAAAGAAAACTTCGGCACAGTAATCCTCTCAAAATATCTTAGGAACTAGAATGAAAACGGTAAGAAGAATTCTGGATAACGAAAGGAGAAGGAATGCTTAAAATTTGACAAGTATTTTTTTTTAAGGTTAATGTTTAGAGCAACAGCAACCAGACCTATAATAAGCAACAGCCGCTGGTGAATGATTCTATGTGAACATTTCCATATGCAAACAGATGCTCTTCCACCATTCAGGGAACTGGAAAACCTTTACTGGTCGATAAACAAACCATCAACAGTTCCATACATAAAACAACAGAAACCACAGAAAAACAAAACAGGAAAAAAAATTATAGTTATGTAAAATCAGCTTTATGAATCTCTGCCTTAAAATTAAAGCAAAAAGGTCCATGCACACACACACACAATGGTTAAAAATATAATACCACCACCTGGTGGTGGCTTAAAATCAACCAGAATAAATCTCTTCAAAAACTTTAAAACGGATGTAAAACTTCAGGCTTCCACGGATTTAGATGGTCAGCAATCCCAGGCAGAGGCCCATTTTCACTCCAATCATGAAAAGGCACATTTGCTGCTTTCCAGCAGAGTAAATTTCACGTCATTACAGATCTGTTTAACATGCAACTGCAGCTCTTCAAGTGTTCACCGCTGATAAACAGTTTAAGCAAAAAGACCCTGTGAAATGTCTACACGTTAATCATTTATTTTTGATTCCCTGCATGGGATCCTAACCCCAACTTGCTGGTGAACTTGTCTCTGTCGATGTTCTTGTGTTCTGGGACGTGTCTGAAGGTGCAGTCATCCCTGGTGCAGCCTGACGTCCTCCAGAAAAAGCACTCCTTATTGTACGGGCTGTGAGAACATTTTTTTTAAAGGTGAATCTTCTCATTTATTAATAATAAAGAGCAGCTGTGCTTCGAGTATGACTTGAAGGCAGAAGAGAGCCTTCTTTACCTAGAACGTTGGAAGGGCTCCGTCTCTCCGTTGGAGCTCTTAAAGGGATAGCGCACAGTCAGCGGAGCACCCTCTATAACCATCCCCTGAAAAGAAAACAAGAGATTTATCCCAAAGATTATCTAATCTCAGGGTGATTGCAGTCATTCAAACTGCAAATGTCCACATTATCAGAGTGATTTACAGGGTTTCCTTATCAGGATTTTAATCTTGTACATTGCTGCACACAGACCTTGTTTTCTTATTCGTTTCTTTGCTGCTTGAGCCCACTTTTTTGTTTGGTTTTACCTGTTGGTGTTACCATGTTAGGAAGTGACGATCATAGGGTATTCAAAAATAAAGACAACCTGAAAAGTATCCATACTCAAAGGTTTATCTGGATACAATACTAATTTGCTTTGGTATTGAAAATAAATACAAGTGTATTGTTTATTTTTGCTTTTAAGATTACTGAATAATACCTCAATCTAGGGCTAGGTAATTAATGGTATTTAAGTATTGATTACTTTCTGGGTTTTATCATTAGAATGCAATGAATGCTAACTTAAAAGAGACCCTGACACGTGTTGTTCTGGTCCACTTGTAGCAGTGGTAAGGTGAATCAGCACAGGTGCAGAAATGCTGTTTTATATAGATGATAAGTCGATTCAACACACTTTGACAGGTTTTTAAACCATCTGCAGAATCAGAGGCAGTTCTTCCCACAGAGACCAAAACAAAAACAGTGAAAAAATCTTATCCGTCTCAGAGTTAAGCCACTGCTGATCTTCATCAGCTGTATCCTGGATGTTTCAAGCAGCTCAGGGCTTTGAAACATCAGTTCAACATTTCACCATGAAGACATGCAGTAAATACTTACGTTGATGCACTTGATGGCTCTTTCACACTCCTCCTTTTGGGTGTAGTTCACAAACGCACACTGCTGCTCAAGCAGCATCTTGATGCTGCACACCATACCGACTCTGAAGGAAATTATGCAACGGTTAGGGATGACATTAATTAATCCAACTGATACAGATCCAGCAGTGAAACAAACCAAATAAGATCCTAAAGAAAGGAGGAGGAGATATTTTACCTGCTGAAGAGCTCATGGAGTTTTGCATAGGTCATGGTAGGTCCTAATGTTCCAACCCAAACTGAAAACAGCTCACTTTAAAGAACAACAAAAGTGGGCAGGTAAAAAATTAACTGTACAATCTTTAATAAAATTAAAAAAATTTGCTGCATATGTTTACAAACACCAAAGAAGAAGAAAGCCTCACTGCTTTGATGAATATTTGGAGCGAGGAGTCGGCGACTGCGATTTTGATCTAATTTCACCCAAAGAAGCCAGATCTCGGACTTTCTGCGTTCGTGAACGGGCTGTTTGTAGGACAGTCCACTGTCCATCACCCTCATAATCATCCTCTTCGGCCAGTGCTTGTTCACCTTCCTCCCACTGAGCACACGCACCTGAAGAGGAGAACAAATGGTAAGTGCAGCTGTGGCATCAGGGAAAGTCCTGCCGTCTTCCTGGAACATTTACCTTCTAGATCTCCATCAGGGTTACTGGCCATCAGAGCATCCACGGCTTTCTCCAACGTTTGGTAAGTCTTTAGAGCCTCTGTGCTTTGCGCCCAGGTGAAACCCATTTCCTGATATCAGAAAGATTCAGTTACATCACAGGTTTTTATAGTTAAAAATTATACACATCCAAACTCAAACATCTAATTGGAGCGTATGTTTTTCCTTTAATTTTACATAATCTGTTCATGTGATTATAAATAATAACCCTCCCTTAAAACAGCTGAATAGTTCTCAGGTCTGATTTCATGCCGATGCTAAATGTCTTTTAAATGTGGCATAGGGCATCTGGATTGTTAAAAAAAATAAAAAGGAAGCATCACAAACTCTATGGAGATCTTTGAAGAGCAGTTTGTGAATTTTGTCCTGCTCAAGTGCAGTTTAAGCAGAGATTAAAATAAAATCTTTCAAAAGCTGCTCCAGGAAAAAAGTTATTAATTTTGAAATGTCAAATTTAAAAATTAAAATCCATGAACTTGTGCCGCTTGGAACTGTGAGTTCAAATCGATGTTTGCAGATATCTAAATTTATTTTGGTCATTTTTTCCTGGGACATCTTATGAAGCTGAAATGTAAAACATTTCTTGTTTAAATGAAGACAAAATGAGCAGCTTTGGAGAAACAAAAATGAAAATGCAGTTTGGATTATTTGTTGCTAATTTCACGTTTGAGACAAAAAAATGCTGCTTTGACCATGAAATGAAAAAAGTATTTCTGCTTATGTATAAAGTTACATATCAAATTGAATTTATAAGACTTTTTGTTAAGATATCTTTTGAAAATTTAATGTGAACAGTTCTTATTTTAATTAAGGTACAGAATGAATAAGCCTAAATAATAATAAAAAAAACAGTCAAGATCAATATCTGAACCTATTCAGTCAGAAAACGCAGCTTTGACTTCAAGATAAAAAATAAAAAAACACTACTTTCAATACATTTTAAATTTCAAATTTGACATTAATTTTAGTTACTTCTTGCAAAGAAAAGTTGAAAAATGTAATCTTAAAATAGGTATTCCCTTATCGGTTTACAAAATGAGCAGCCTTTGTGAAAAATAAATTTGAAAAAAACTATTTTTTATTTTGTCATCAAATTTAAATCTTTTCTAATAATTAATCTTAAGAAAATTGGAACAAGTTTACTTCCATATAGACATACTCTGAGCTCATCTAATTTTCCTTTTGGGAAAGTATTTTTTAATTCAATGCCTTTTCTTTGAAACCTGCAAAACTTTTCCTTCCATTTCACAATCAAACACTTCTCTGTGATGCATTTGATAAAATCCCAGTGAAACACTAATTAAACCTTGAGGTTTAACAGAACAAAATGTTAAGTTTATCATTAGAGATCAAAAGATGCACAGACCATCAGATGTAAGGTCTGCGCTCGTTTCAGCTCCTGCGCCGCTTCAACACTCGTGCGTTCCAGCTTCAACACGTCGTTGTAGATCAGGGTGGCTTCATAGTACCTCTGAGGAAGAAACGGGCAATAAAGATTTAAATAATAAAACTAGTGGAATTATGCAAACAAGTTAGAAGTTTACATCAAAATAACCAAACTTAAAACGTGTATAAAGCATGCAAATATGCATTTGAACCATTAAGAAATTCATTCAAATGAGCCGTGACGATCAGGAAGCAGAGCTGTTGTTCCGTCAGAGCAGCATAGCCATAGTCAATACCCATTTATTATCATTTTTGTATGAAAAATACACTTTAAACTACCTCAACAGGCGTGTTTCCCTTTAGTCATGTACAAAAAAACAATTGAATTACTTACTTTTTGCTGTTTTTTGAAGCGTATGGTGACGTTAAATTGTATTTTTTTTGTACGTGACTAAAAGGATACATGCCAGTTGAGGTAGTTTTAAGTGCATTTCTCGTGCAGAACTAAAAGGATAAATGGAACTAGCATACATGTATGCAAATCTGACATCTTGCGCATGCCTTTTGACTGGTAAGTTGGTCTGGGGTGGTATGCTGATCTGACAGAACACCGTCACAAAGCTGCAGCGCTTTTACCTTGAGGCCGCAGAGAGCTTTCCCTTTTCGAAACAAACCCTTTATCCATTTGGGCTGCATGGAGAGAGCCAGGTCAGCATCCCTCAGGGCGTTCTCATACTGCTGGAGTCTCTCATAACACAGAGACCGATTTCCAAATAACCTGAAACATACAGAAGATCCTTTAACATCCCGTCATCCTCTGGGTTCATAAAAAAAAAGAAAAGAAAAATCCAATATCAGAACATGTTTCTACTTGAATTCCTTTGGGTTGTATTTAATGGCGTCTGTAAAACATGACACGGCCATCTCAAACTGTCCAGCCGCCGCCAGACGATTCCCCATACCTGCAGAAAAGGAGAGGCAGGAGTCAAGCTTTGAATTTTTTTTTATTTCTGGGGGGAAAAAAAAATATGCATCAAGGAGAGGATCTTACTGGCAAGCTCTATGCTTCGTTTTGCGTGCTCTTCAGACACAGGATCCCGGATTTTCTGTTAAAATAGATCCCTAATTAGCTTCAAGCATTCTCATGATGGATCCCATCAAATAAACACAGGGAGGATAGAAAACAAAGTTCTGTCTAGAAACGTTTATTTTTAAGTAGGCTAAACAATAAAAAAAATTCAGATTTAGCAGTATGTGTTTTTCTTACCTCTTTATTGTTTTCATGCTCAGTTTTCGTCTGAACTTCAGATTTCACAGCATCCTGGATGTTTTCTTCCTCTGGCTGCTGAACTTTGATCTTTTCTTTTTTCTTTTCTTTTTCAGACTTCTGGCTACATTTCTCCTCAGCACCCACTTTACTAGATGCAGCATTTAAATTATTTGAATTCAAGTCCTGCCCAGAATAAAGTAGTCAGATTAAACAAGCATTCATTGTAGCAAATGGTTGCCATAAAAAAAAGGAAAGAAAAAAAAGAAATAATTTCAAAAACAGGAGAAGTCAAACTTTACTAACCTCCTCTTTCTTTGTCGAATTAATTTTCAAAATGTCCTTTTCTTTGGTGTTTTCAGCTACCTCAACAATTCCAGCTTCCTGAGTTTCTGTTTCACCATAATCTGGAGGCTTGATTTTCTCTGAATTATCATCAATTATACAAGCTTGTTCCTGCACCTTCGATGAATCTAACTCGTCCTCATTGTCAACCTGAAAAAAGAAAAACAAACGAAAAAAACCCCAGAAAAAACTCGTAAACAAAAGTTCTGAGAGTAAATTCAGCAAACCTCCACAGAATGCATCTCAACGGAATACAGCAGTTTAGGATCATTCCTTTCAGTAATCCATTAAAAACTCATGCATTATATACTCATAACATATTGACCGATTTCCAACTTCTACTTGAGCTCATTGGAATTTTTCATGCTTTCATCTGATGAAAATCCTAAATTCATTTGCAAAGAAAATAATGAAATAAAATTTTTACAGTTTCTTAAAGAAATGTCTTTTTGAGCCACGTCATGAGCTGAATAACCATCTGACTCGTCAGTTTTACAGCATCTGGTCATCAGCAAAAGATAAGCTCCCATATATTGTTTAGAGTGCTTGATCCAAGCATTATAATGAAGAATGTAGTGCAAGGAAATGTCCATGGCAGAAGTTAACAGCAGGGATAATTACATTCTTAAGAGTGTGTATAAAAGTTATAAATAAAAGGGAGAAAGTTACAAATTTGAGACAATTACACAGGCACAAATTACAAATTTATGAGTGCACATTTTTGCACCTGTGTATTTGCGATTAGTTTTAGCTTTGCATTTGTAACAGAAACTTTTAATCTTACAGATTAAACATCTAATTTCACTATTATACAGATGTTGACAACAAATTCATTTAAGATCGACTTTCATTTCCATGTTTTTATTGACAGTATGTTACGCCATATACAATCCTTCAACATCTTGTTTTAAGCCAATCGTACATCAAAGGTGTCTTATAAAGTGTTCATTTTAGGGCATCCTAAGGTTTAGATCTCGAAATTATTTATTTATTTTACCAGGTGAAATCTGGACCAACTAATCAGATATTTGAGTTAAACCTACATTGTTTCCTAAAAAAAAACTTAAAAGTTTAGGTCATGGAAAGCGTAATGTATTGATTTTTAATCATAATTTGTGCCACCATGTTCCTCCAAGGGCGTCTGACCTTGACTAATTCACTTTAACCAACAATGAATCAGGGAAAAAGATGGGATAGATAGTCTTTATCACAGGGGCGCGATAACCTTATCGGATAACAAACCCAGAATTATCTTTTAAGATGTTTTTTGGCAACAACATTAAAACAGTCGTAGGAGTACTACTAGAGTTTTAGAGAGGAGAAAAAAAAGACCTTTTCTTTGGGATCCAAAGTGTTTTAGTATTCATTCTTTTTTATATCAACAAGCCAAAAATACAGAAAACAAAAATTTAACACAAGCTTCATCATTCAAATGTTTCTAATCTGACCTCATTGAATTTGAAGCTCAGGTGGATTTAGATATTTACATTATGACCCTTTATCTGTTTCAGCAGCTTTACATCGAGATAAAACTGTTTCTACGGCCTGAATTTCATACATTATAAATCATTTAATATCTATTCATTAGATAATAAAAAAAATCATATTACTTAATACAAGTTAAAAAAAGAACAAAAAAATGTCAACTCACAGGTAAACTTTCCTTATGAGCATTCTCCTTTTCAAGTCTTTTTTTTTCTTTCTTGCGCTGAAAACACAAGAGAGATAAGTGATGAGGAGCAGCTGGATGACGGTGCATTCAGAGCAGGTAGGAAACAGGCTCACCTTTTTTTTACGTTTGTTTCTTTCAGTTTTATCTTTACGTTTTTCGTGCTCTTCTATAAATTCATTAGCCTCCTGAGGACAACATTTAGAGCAGACATTATTGGTGATATCATCCTAAGACCAAGGGTTAAAAGTCAACCACATTCAGTCGAAACAGGAAGAGACAAGATTCAGTATCATTTTCAGTGAAGTGAAACCAGGTACGTTACCTCTTCACCGAGTTCTTTAATTTGTGGGTGTGGTTTTAAAGGTTTACTACCAAAATTATGTGAATTATCATCATCATCATCATCATCATAATCAAGATCGTCATCCGAGTAAATTAGATCTTTTTCTAAGGAAGGAGAAAAGTGAAAACCTGAAAAAAATTAAGAAAATAATTTTAAAATTTTTTTTAAATTTATAAAATTAAATGTCATAGATACTACATTTTCAACAAATAACTAATAATAAAAAAAGACCTATCTACAACAACTCTAGATTGATTATTGAAAATTAAAGATACATGGATAAAAACATATATTTTATACATTTTTTTTTTAAATATTTGGTCAGAATTTATTTTTAACCATAGAAACATGGCTGCCAGGTGCTAGTATCTCTGTTATGACTGAAAAATGGCTTCTTTTCTACAGTAAATTACTCAAACTCAGGGATTTTAGATCCTTTTGTAATTTCTGTTTTTCAGATTCTCACATTCATTTAAAATTTCATTTCATAGATAAAAATATAAAATCTGTAAAAAAAAAAAAAAAAAAAAAAAAAAAAAAAAATTGAATAAAAACTGTGAAAACAAAGTTATTGTGTACAATTTTAAAATTCAAAAAATGATTGATGTAAATATACAATAATATACATGTAAATAAAAACATGCCTTACCAAAAAGAGAAGGAGCTAACGCCTCCAGGAAAGAGCCTCCATTGCTGCGCCCACTCAGGTAATCCACCATTGTTTCCTTTAGAAGAAGAAATGATCATTAGCTTAGAAAACATCAATTTACAGCTTACGTCTGCAAACATGACATGGTGAAGGGAAGAAAAAAAAAAGAAAAAAGTATCTTAAAACCAAATCCTGATACTTTGGACTGGGTTGGCCTGAAGGGTTGCCGAGCGTCATAAAAGCTGAAAATCACACAGTCAAATCTTTCAGGGCTGAGTTATATGGCTCAGAATAAAATCTAATCATTTTACACCACATTTAAGTAAACACGTTTTTCTCTCTTTACCATCATGAAAACCGATAACAAATTACCCAATTTAACTTTGAAAACTTCAAATATCAATTTTGGCTATTAATTCAAATGAAAGTAGAATTAAATCCAAGCTGTAGGACACGCTAGAGGTGGAATTAGACAATGAGCTTGAGTTTACATAGAAGAACAAAAACCTGACAGGCAGAACTACAGTAGCCGAAAGAGTTAATAAAACCCCTTTTTTAAATCGAAGATCACGTTTTAATGTTATCCAAGCTGTCTGTGTTTGCTGGGACTGGAAATACTAGAACATTCTAGTCAGTCATAGTGAAGAAGGTAGAGGAACAACACCCATGCACATGCTAACATTGACTAATGACCCCAGCTTATGTTTTAGCTGCTGGACCGGTTTATCTTCTGAAAAGCAGAAATGTTAATATGCAAAATGCTTCGTACCATAAACCAATGTACTTTGAAACTCACACTAAAGTTGTTGCTTCTTAGTTCACCTTTTTTTTGTCCAATATGAATAATATGTATCTACAGTTAAGGGTATAGAGTACGATCATTTATTTCCGGGTGGATCATCTCAATAAGCGGTCCTCCTAATTGTCAATCATTCTGGTGATACGTTTACGTAAGGCTGTCCTACATGCTCATCCCTTTGGCCATCTTTTGCGCATGTGCACTTTCAGCCGTATATGCGTGGTGAGCTACGGTTTCAGACAGTGATTGAAGGTCACCTTTCTCACCACGGCTCTTTGAAAATGGCTGAGGATCGTGAGAGAAAAAGTGTCTACGACACGGATGTCAAACTGGTTCCAGAAAGGGCAGCAAGGTTTTCTTTCCAACCAAGCAATAGCAAACCAGACTCCAGTCGTCTCATCAAGGGAGTCCAATCCGAACATGATGACTGGTGTTTGGTTGGAAAGAAAACCTGCAGCCACACGGCCCTTTCTGGAACCAGTTTGACACCTGTGGTCTACGAAGTGTATGAGAAGAAAGGCCTCAGAAGAGGCAGACATATCCCAGAATGCTTTGTGTGGAGAGCTCTCCTCACAAAGCATTATGGGATTTGCTGTCAAAGCAGCCCACTGTCGCCGTAGGCTGCCGCTACCAGACAGCTGCGACTAATAAAGATGACGCAGGCACCGCTTGATGGAGATGGAGTTACGTGACCAACGGGGAGCAAAAAGCAGAGATCATCTGTCCGAACAGTCAGTCAACTATAGTTCACAATAAAGTAAACTATATACTCCCCGCTTTAGGAGTTCAGACATAGTAAGCTTGTATGAGCTATGAAAATAGCAACTTTTAAATGGAGTGTGCACGAGTAGAAATTATCGAACAGAAGCTCCCTCACACACGTTGCTTTTAAAAATTTGGGAAAATTCTCCACAACCTTTAAATGAAGGTCACCTACTGGAGGAAATGAAGGGCTAGCTCTGAAAAAAAAATGTTATTTGTATTTTTTTTTTGTTAAACTTAATTGAAAAGAAATAATCAGACTCATCAGTTCCAGTTATTTCATTTTGGAATCACTGTGACCTGGATGACTCGTCCACACGAAGTCAAAACGAACACGAAACGATGATATTTTCCAAAACGTTTGTCGTAAAGACGGAGACGTAAAATAAATGTGATCGTCCACACGAATGCATGAAAACGCTGCAAAATGTATGCCAGGCCTGTAAGTGGCGCTGTGGTGCCAAAGCAAAAATAGGCGACGAAATGTTGGGCATGCGCACTAATATTTATACATGGTTGCCCTGTGGGTCCATTTTCGTGGTTCAGTCAAATTCAGGTGCTGAACTATGTTGCTATGTTCTTCCTGGAGATATTACAGAAGAAGAAGATTCTGTTGTAAGCCCGGCAGTAGGGTGAGTAGCATTAGCAGCAACCATTCAACACAGTACGGCGCCATTTTTGTTGTGATACTGTGTCGCGCATGCGTGTTTACAGGCGACGCTATGACGCATGCGTGTAAAAAAAAAAAATGTGGTTAGAGCTTAAAGATGGAAACGCGAAAACGGCGTTTCAGAATCTTCCCACTTTGAAGGCTAAATTAAAAAAAGATCGTTTACAGACCCCCAAACGCCGGCGTCGTGTATATGAGAGGCTGGTTTGGTTAAAAATTTGTGCGTTTAGGCCAGGGTTCGGCTTCGTGTGGACGGGGCCTGTAGAAAACCCTTCTACATTTAAGTTAAGGAAGGTTGATTGAAGTGGCACCATGGATGGGAGATTCCGGTTAGAGAATCAGGAGACTGGAGATAATGTTCGGCAGCTTTAATATGGCTCCAAAGACAGAACATGGTCCATAACAGGCTGAGATGCATAAGTACATGTGAAACACATGTTACATGCTGAGCTCATGGAGCATATGAGTATGGTTTGTAAAAAGGAACAAACATAAAAGTGCTTATGAGCCAAATTAGGATTTCACTAAACATTTCAGCAAACAGCTACAGAAATAAACAAACAATTAACCAAAGTCCCAGCAATCCTCATACAAACACTGCTGGATCAGTAGCAATAACACAAGCCATGCAACTTCAAATACAGCAACTCTAGGCAGCAGCAGCATTAACTGAACTACTATTAGCAACAAATGCTAACCAGCGCTAGCAATCACAGTAGCTTACCAGAACAGCAAGAAACACAGAAATACGGTGCAAATTACTGATTCACACTACAATTAGATTGAAGCAGAACATGTAAAGAGTAAAGTTATATCTAAAAGGCACTTACTTTATTTATTACGCACACAAATATCCACCATGAAGAAATAAAGATTCGGCGCGCGTCACACTAATAGCGGTCCGGGCGGAAACAAGAAACTAAATTAGGTTCTCCCTCAGTCTTTCTAACACAGCCGCCCCCAATTCTCTAACATGAGAATTGTATCGAACATAGAAAGACTGCTATATGAACTAAGAGTCATTAGTAAACTGGGGAAGCTGGACCAGTCTAACGACAGGCCTTGTGTAGATTTTGTCCTTTACCTTCACTGTGGCAATACGTACACGTCCATCTGCACCCTTGAAGGTCTCAACCACCGAACCCACAGGCCAAAGAGCCCGCGGGAGCCGTGGATCAACAACAAGAACAACCTGACCTGTAGTAGGTTCCTTGCTATCGCTCTTCCACTTCTGACGTTGCTGCAGTCCCGGGAGGTAGTGTCTGATGAAGGAAGCCCAGAAGTTGTCTGCCAACACCTGGCTGTGTCTCCACCGTCGCTTCCCAAGCAAATCCTCTCCGCCATATAAAGCCTGGGGAAGAGATGAATCCCTGCGTCCCATAAGTAGCATGTTGGGTGTTATAGGATCAGGATCCGAGACATCTGTTGACACATAGCCCAATGGCTTGGAATTAAGAATTCCTTCCACCTCGATCAGTAGAGTCCGCAGATCTGGCTCAGCGACTGACTGCTCTCGTAGGACTACTCTCAGAGCTGTTTTCACAGACTTGACTTCCCTTTCCCAGGTGCCTCCAAAATGTGGAGCGGAAGGTGGGTTAAACTGGAATCTGATCCTCTGCTCTGCTAATTGCTCCTGCAGGCAAGGAGCCATAGCTTCAAAGGCCTCTACTAATTCTCGATTTCCTCCTGTAAAGTTGGTTCCATTATCACAGAGAAGCTCAAATGGTTTACCCCTGCGTGCTATTAGGCGGCGCAGGGAGAGCAGGAAGGAATCTGTGTACAGGCTTTCGAGGAGATCCAAATGCACACATCTGGTGGTCATGCACTTATAAAGGATGCCCCATCTCTTCTCTTGACTCCGTCTGACCTTGACTGAAAATGGACCAAAGCAGTCTACTCCAGTGGAGTAAAACGGGGGCTTGTGGACACGCAGTCTCGAAGGAGGAAGGTCAGCCATCTGTGGAGCTTGTGGCTTGGCTCGCCAAAGCTGACACTCAGGACATTTGTGCTGGTGTTTACGGATAGCTTCGCGACCCCGAAGAATCCAATAATGCCTGCGAAGTTCAGCCAGAACTCGCTCTGCACCAGGGTGATGAAGCCTCTCGTCACAGTCCTTTATCAGCAGCTTAGTTATATGGTGCTCGGGATCAAGAACGATGGGATGAATTGTCCCCTCCTCCAAATCCACAGCTCGCCGAAGACGCCCTCCAACTCTAAGGAGTCCTGTGGCCTCTTCATACTCAGGTGCCAGGGAACATAGGCGACTGTCAGATGGAATGGAGTGATTATTTTTAAGTGCCTTTACCTCTCGTGGGAAAGAGTCAAGCTGAGCCTGAGGTAAGAGAGCTCTTTCAGCAACCACATAGTCTGAAGCATCAGGCCTCGGGTTTGAATTAGGGGCAGCCGCCCCGTGATGGGACTGTACTGCAGTCTTGATGAGCTCCTTCCAGGTGTGGAATTGCTTTGGGTCTGGTATTGCTGTGTTCAATACAACTGAAGCTAAGCCAACAAAGGCACCCTTCTTTAACTCATTCTGATGAGGCTCTGCTCCGGTACTTGGCATGACTGGCCAATGGTCAGAACTTTTCATCAGGAAATCAGGTCCTGACCTCCACTGGCTTGGATGGACTAATGCAGTGAGGGTCAGACCTCTAGTGATGTGATCGGCTGGGTTATGATGTGAGTCAACGTACCTCCAGGTAGCCCCTTCAGTGAGATTCTGGATTTCAGCCACACGTGTCCCAACAAAGACCTTGTAGCGGCAGGACTCTGAGTTCAGCCAATACAGCACCGTGGTAGAATCTGACCAGCAAACAACTTCACCAACTGTGAGGGTTAGTTCGTC